GGCGACCGAGGGCTGGCTCTTCCCCTCCCGCCCGCATCCGAGTGTGCGCGGGTGTGACAGCATTCTGTCCGCCAGCGGAAAAAGGAGAGAGCGGAGCGAGGCAGGGGACCAACTCCTCTTCCTCCTCCTTAGTATGCTAATAAGTATTATTATGTCTCATCCTCATCCTCTCCCTCCTTCTCCCCTTCCACCTCCTTCTGCTTCTTCTCCTCCTCCTCCTCCTCCTTCTTCTTCTCCTCCTGCTCCTCCACCTGTTTGTCCCTGTCCTCCTCCTCCTATTTCTCCCCCTCCTCCTGTTCCTTCTTAATTTTCTTATCCTTCTCCTTCTCCTCCTCCTCCTCCTCCTCCTCCTCCTCCTCCTCCACTTGTTTTCCTTATGGAAAAAACCCTCCCTGTCGCACCCCAAGGCCAGTCGGAAGGGCTGGGCGGGCGTTTCGCCTGAGACCTCCTTACCATCTATGTGTCTGAAGCTTGAAGAACAGCTTCACAGATGGAGGGGAGAACGTTTTCAAAATGTGGCTGTCGCCTTAGCGCCGCACACAATCGTTTTCAATATTTGCATGAGCTTCACGGATCGAGGGCGGGTCCTTTTCAACATGTGGCTCTCGCCCTAGCGCCGCGCACATTCGTTCGAAGAGTTCGCAAGATATTCACGGATCCTCATGGTTAGCGTACCAGAAATCTTGTCTTGGCACGGTACAGGATTGTCAAGGCGCAACAGGTACGTTGATTCGCAGTGTTGGAATCTCAGGAATGGCGTTCTGGTGCGACTCAGGATCGCCAAGACGCAACAGCCAGGTTAACTCGTGGCGTTGAAGTCCAGGAAAGCTGCGAGGCACGCTACATGATTTGAACACGGTTGTCCCCCAACGGGGCCAATCCCTCAGTGGAAATGAATCCTTGAAGGGGCCTGTGAAGAGGGAGTTTCGAGGGAGGGCGTATTTCAACAGCGTTGGTGAGTCTTGGGTTCACACTGGTCCTTCTCCTCCTCCTCCTCCTTCTCCGTCTGGTCCTCCTCATTATCCTCCACCTCCTCCTCCTCCTCCTCCTTCTCCTCCTCTCTCCTCCTCCTCCCTCCTCGCTCCTCCTCCTGCTCCTCGAGCCTCGAACCTGCTCCTCCTCCCCTCCACTCGATCCTCGATCGCGATCCCCTCCACTCCAATCACCTCCTCCCTGCCGCAGCGCCAAAGGGGCGCCCCCACCGTCTGCGCCCGCGCTCCCCCGCGCCGCGCGCTGCATCGGCGGGCCCCCCACGCGTCCTGTGCGCACGCCGGCGCACAGCTGCGCTCCGAAGTGGGGGAGGCGAGGCGAGGCGCCTCAAAATCACAACGCTCGGGGGTTGCTCGCAAGGCGCCCCCAGCCAGCCCAAGGGCCCCCCCAGCTTTCGCTCAGTCTGGGAGCCCCTTTGGGGCCCTCTGAGCCTCGTGATGGGGTGCTCTGGAGGCCGTGGGGGCCTCCTTGGACATCCTGGGGGCAGCTTGGGCCAAGGACACTTCTAGCAGCACCCGATCCGTGAAGTGATTTTTGCCTCTGCGCTTCTCTGCCACGATTCTTCGCAGTGGTCTCGGCCTCTGGGGCCGAGCAGGCGTCGAGCACGGCACCACACCACTGCACGGAGACGCCTGCGGACGTGCACACACCGGCGTGCCGACGCGAGGACGGCCGCGAAAGGCTGGGAGCAGGCTCCCGGGTGCCGCTCATTTAGCCTCTGGAAGTCAAGGATGGTAGCCTCCTCCTCGTCCTCCTCCTCGTCCTCCTCCTCCTCCTCCTCCTCCTCCTCCTCCTCCTCCTCTCTTCTGCCGTTCCGGCTCAGACCTTCAGCTAGGCCGCGCAGGCGCCTCGAGTGCCGCCCGTCGCCTCACCCCTTCCCCCAATCACTCCTCTTCGGAGCCCGCAGGGGAGATCGTGGGAAGCCGCAGGCTTTGCGCAAGGCATGCTCCCGATATCGACTGCCAAGCGTGATGGTGCAGAGGGGGGGACGAGCCAGGGGGAGGAGAGAGGAGCGAGGAGCTATGAGCGAGGGAGGAGCGAGGAGGGAGGAGCGAGGAGGGAGGAGCGAGCTACGATTGAGGCACGAGGATCTTGCACGCTCTTCGCATTTTTTGTACGGGGGGCTCCTGCGACGCCCACGTCACTGGGACTGCGTCCGCCTCGGGGCCCCAGAGATCTCCAGAGATGGGCAATGATGACGATGATGATGAATATGATGATGGTGGTGATGGTGATGATTACGACGATGATGACGACGATGGTGGTGATGATGATGATAATGGTGGTGATGATGAGGATGATAATGCTGCTGGTGATGGTGATGGTGGTGCCGATTCCCATGAGAATGAAGATTCTGCTGCTGATGGTGATGGTGGTGGTGATAATGGTGATGGTGGTGATGATGTTGCTGATGCCGATGCTGATGATGGTGTTGATCATGAGAGGAAGACCAGTTGTACTTGGCCATGTTGTAGACGGATCCAATGCATGTAGCGCACGGCGTGGAGACGTTGTAGAACTCCTGGTAGCACTGCGCCCACTCGCTCACCTAGAAGGACGAGTAATCCTGCACCCCCGATAATCATCACTCAGGGGACAATCAAACCCCTCTTGGCCCGCGATACTGAACACTCAGGGGCTAAAGCCGACCCGTAGCACAAGGATGCACGATAAGGATGCAAGGGCCTTGGAGGGCCATTTCGAAGCTTCTCGAGCGGGGCGCGGTCAGCGAAAGTGGCCAAGGATGGACCGAGGATGCAAGGATGCAAGGGTACCCTTTGGAAAATTGCCCATCCTCACAATGCGGGTTGACTGTACGGGTGGGGGATACTTTATTATAGGGGGCACGGGGTTACCGTGCGCATGCCCGCGGTCACACGCCCTCCTGGGCAATAGATCGGTGAGCACGCCCTCCCGGCGTAGCCAGGGAGGTATACGTACGCATTCTGGGCCAAGGATGTGAAGGGGCCCTGGGACACACAAATAAATAGACACAAATAACAGGATTCCCCACATTTCCCAATATTTTCTGAATTTTTGTCTTCCCCCTACTTCCCATATTTTCCCATATTTTCCTGGGAGTCGACGATTAATTGTGTGTGCTTTTACCCCTCCTGAGGATGGGCCAGGCCAGGCTCAGTGTATGTGCATAGTTCTCGCCACCCGATCACCCCCATCCACCAGGTGGTGCTCCACGACTTCATACACGACCCGGTCTTGAAGTCCCCGCGGCGACCCTCCTCAGGGAGCGTCTTCTTGGCCTGCTTCAGCGCCCAGAAATTCAGAGTCTCCATGTCCTGCTCGCTGCACTGCCGCGTGTCGGAGAGCGGAAAATTCTGCTGCTGGGGGTAGGTGTCATCCGGCCCGAGTGGCGCCTGAACAGGCAGCCCAAGCAAAGCCAGAGCAGAGCGGACCAGAGGATCATCGCACTGCATCGTCGATGTATCGCCGATGCATCGCCGGTGCATCGGTGACGTCGGTACCCAGACATCCGACTTCCTGATTTTTCCCAACCGCTGCCCCGAACCTCCCAACCCCTCGCCCGAGGGCCGGTTTTCGCCCGGATCCGCGTTTGATGGCCCGGGGCCCCGATGACGGGCCCAAGAGGCCAACCACTGCCAGATTTAGAAAAACATAACCCCTGATATCTGAGAGCAACATCAAAAATTAGGTGGCGCGCCCAGGGGGAAGTGAGAAGGGGCGGGCCTTCTCAGAAGGCTCGGACGTCCCCTGGCTCTCGGTGAAGTTTCCTAAGCGCTCCCCGAAGACACGTAATTAGAGCTTCTCCGAAGGCCAGAGCGCTCATGAGAAGCCCCGCCGCCTTCTGAGAAGGCCTTCTCCTTCTCACCTCCCCCCCGGGCGCGCCGCCGAACTTGGTCTTTGGGTCATACAACTCGAGTCTCCGGCGGCGGCCGCTCGGGACGATCCGGGCGCCCCCGGAACGCCCTCGGCGAGGCGCAGCTGCTGGCAGGCATCCCGAGGCTAGAAAAGACCGCCGAGAACCGACGGAAGCGTCCGAGAGCCTCGAGCCTCGAAAAGTTCGAACCTCGAACTTCCCCGAGCCGCCCCGCCGGTGCACCGGCGGTGCGCGGCGCGGCCCTCCAGACCCCCTTACCAGCCTGGAACATATCCCTATCCCTATGCTGGGCATCTCCTCATCACGATGCCAATCTCAGGGATTCCCTCAGTTTTCCAAGGCGAATATCCCTAAGATTGTCATCGCCTTTTGGCGTGTCAATCTCAGGGATAGGGATAAGTTCGAGGCTGGTGACCCCCTCTGCTCCGACCCCCCCATCGGGCGGCCCCCTCGTGCCTTCCAGGACCCCGCCGGCCAGTTCTCGGCGCTGTCGTCGTCCCCGGCGTCTGCGGCGTCGCGGTGGTGGGAATCGGCGGCCGACGGCCCGACGAACTCGAAGATGCCGCCGAAGTCGTAGATCGGCCGGCTCGTCGGGCTGCTGTCGGCGTCGGTGTCGTCGTCGATGTCCCGCAGGCTGAGCTGAGTGGTAGCCGGCAGGAGGGATAGGATCGACACCCACCGGAGATTCATCGCGCACATCTGTTATGCAGGAACGCGCAGGCCGGCGCGACGGGACGGCGAGCGGATAGTGTTGAAAGGAGCCGTGGAAGTGTACGGTGATCTGAGCCAAGACGGCAGGAGCAGTACCAAGATGAAGACAGAGATGCGTAGAAGCAGAAGGAGGGGGCCGATGGCGAGCAACTGGAAGATGCACAGCAAGCGAACACCTGCCACACCTTTCTTAACACTCCAGGTTCTGCGCCTCTCCCCTTTACCCCGTTCTTCCTCCAGCATCTCATCATGCCCAGTTCCCATACTGGAAATTCTACTGATTGGCCGACATGAAGACGACGCACATCTGTATTCTAGATTGGGCGCACGACAACGGGTTCCAAAAGAAAGCGCCAGGTAACCTGAATGGCAAAAAGCGAACACCGAAATGCGAATAAAACTGTACGCCGACCAATCACGAAACTGACACCAATGAGACTTTGCATACGCTTCCACTGACGACGCATTCAGCATCGACGGCGTAACCCCCTGACTTCAAAATCGGCGACAAAATGTCCTGACAGCGAACTTTGCCTACGGCGTACACGAGTAGGGGGCTTTGAACAAAAAAGGTCGAACCCCCAAGCCATCCCCCATGCCAAAATCCACAGTGGTTTCGGGGGCGGGGGGGGTCAGACCCCCCGACGTCATGATTTTCTTAGAACGTCGGCCCATGGAAGTCTCGACCCATTCCCCTGGGCCGGTTTTTCATCCGGAGTCGTTCTTTGACGGTCCCGAGGGCCGGCAAGGGCCCCCAGAAGCCGAAAATAGCAAAACAGAGGGCACCCCTGGTTGGGCGGGCGCGGAGACCTCGACACTCAGAGGCCCCCGCCGCGCCCCCCGCGGGGAGGCCTGGCGAGGACCGTGCCGTCTCCTCCTCCTCTTCCTCCTCTTCCTCCTCTTCTTCTTCTTCTTCCTCTTCCTCGTCCTCCTCGTCCTCTTCCTCCTCCTCCTCCTCCTCCTCCTCCTCCTCCTCCTCCTCCTCCTCCTCCTCCTCCCCCTCCTCCCCCTCCTCCCCCTCCCCCCCCTCCTCCCCCTGCCCCTCCTCCCCCTCCTGATCGCAGACCACACCCTGGCGTAACCACACCCTGTGTGCCCAGACCCCCTCCGGGCAACGAAAAAAGCACGACGGGAGGTGTTTCGCTGTGTTCGGCCTCGGGGGGGCCCTGACTGGCCCTGTTGCAAAAACCACGCCCTCTGCAGACACGACACCCCTCGGAGTCGCCAGCCTAACTCACTTGAGAGGAGGATGCCCATCCACCCCAGACCCCCTCGGGTAATGAACAAATCAAGACGAATGGTGTTTTGCTATTTTCGGCTTCTGGGGGCCCTGACTGGCCTTCGGGAACGTCAAAAAACGACTCAGGATGAAAAGCCAGTCCAGGGGAATGGGTCGAGACCTCCAGGGGTCGACGTAATGAAAAAATCATGACGTCAGGGGTCTGGGTTGTACGATACCACTACTTCCCGGGCCTCTCCTGGGGTGCGTTCTGACCTGGACTTCGAGGCGGATCCAGCTGTGGCGACGAGGGCCTCCCCTAGGATGCCCAAAAAGGAAAACATGAGGGGCAGGGAGCGGGTGCGGATGCCTTTCCCAACCCCCCGACGTAAGTCGTACGTCGAGCATGTCCTCCTACATGCGGATTTGGGGAGAAAAATAAGAAATTGTCAAACAATGAGCAAATAGAGTCAAACAAATAAAAACATCGTCCCGATACTATTCGAGGATTTGTTTAACACTCCTCCTGTAGAGGGACATGCCCAACTTAGTTGCAGCCGCCGATGCGGGCCCAGACATCTTGTCCAAATGCTGCCCGGCAGCTGCCTGCGGCACTCGCGGAGGGGGCGCGCAGCCGCCCTCTGTGCCCGCGCATCCCGCCGTCTCGGCCCCCTTGGCGCCGAGAGCCCCCCCCCCCATTGCCACCGCTCGGCCGTCCATTCCCCGTGCAAACTGTTGCCCGACGCTCGAGGGTGCTCGATGCTCGGTGCTCCAGGATGCTCGATCGACGCTCCAGGAGGCTGGATGTTTTGCACGTTGTTGTTGTTGTTGTTGTTGTCGTTGTTGTTGCTCGATGCTCGGTGCTCCAGGATGCTCGATCGATGCTCCAGGAGGCCGGATGCTTTGCACGTCGTTGTTGTTGCTCGATGCTCCAGGGTGCTCGATGCTCGGTGCTCCAGGGTGCTCGATGCTCCAGGAAGCCGGGTGCTCGGCACGTGCTGTTGTTGCCCGATGCTCCAGGGTGCTCGATGCTCGGTGCTCCAGGGTGCTCGATGTTCCAGGAGGCCTGGGTGCTTTGCACGTCCTGCTGTTGCCCGATGATCCACGATGCTCCAGGATGCTCGGTGCTCCAGGATGCTACGCGTTTGGCACGCTCTGCTGTTGCTCGATGCTCGAGGATGCCCCTCGATGGCCTTCGCCGAGAGAAAAGGAAAGAAGAACAACACCATAAAAAAAGGCACGCGGCCGAGCGGTGCCGGGCCCCGCGGGGCCTCCACGCTCTCCTGCAGCATGAAGGCGGCCCGCGAGCGGTACGGGCGGGTCCTCGGGGGCCGCGCGCCGACGGCGGCGAGGAGGAGGAACGATGGAGGAGGGGGAAGGGAGACGGGGAGGGGGAGGAGGAGGAGGAGGAGGAGGGGGGAAGGAGGAGGAGGAGGAGGAGGAGTGAGGAGGGAGGAGGAGGAGGAGGAGGGAGGAGGAGGAGGAGGAGGAGGAGGAGGAGGAGGAGGAGGAGGAGGAGGAGGGGGGAGAAGGAGGAGGAGGAGGACGACGAGAAGTAGGAGGAGGAGGAGGAGGAAGTGAGGAGGAGGAGGAGGAGGAGGAAGACGAGGAGAAGGGGCGGGGACCTAAAGCTCCGACGCTCCGAAAACATTGGAGATGGTTGTTGGAGGATCGCGCCGCATCGCCGACGCATCCACGATGCATCGGCGATGCATCAACGTCGTCTGCTGATGCAATCGCGACGCCGGCGTGGATAAGATCTAGATCCACATCGAGACGCATCCGTGATGCATTGGCGATGCGTCAGCGACGTCGGCTGATGCAATCGCGACGTCGGCGTGGAGAGCATCGGGGGCCAAACCGAGACGCAAACATCGCCGATGCATCACAGCGATATGCGGCGCGGCCCCCCAACTCCATCTACACTCGGCCCCCACATTTGCATTGAAGGACGCGGGCTCCCCTGGGAAAAGGGCCCTGGACCCTGGGGCCTCTTCCCCCAGGACCGGCACTTCCTCCCGAACCGCTTCCTTGACGGCCCCTGGGGCCCATGGAGGGCCCCGAGGGGGAGAGCCCGAAGACGGCGAACCCAAACCCCAGAACCCGTTTCCCTCGGGACCTGCTTCTCTAGTGTCTGCCTACCAGACCACCCCGACCCAACCCGAAGACCCGAATTGCGGGTTGGGGGGGGTGCGGGTTCCATGTGTTTTTTCCAACGTTCCCCGGCCCCACCCCACTGGAAGTGGAGGGCAGATGGGAGGCGGCGCTGGGGGGGGCCCTGCGCGGATCTAAGAAACCCGCGCGGAGCGCCAAAAGCTTATGTTTGTGGCGATTTGTCTTCTTCGGTTCTCCCCGGACCCCTTCTTGGACCAGTTGTTCATCCTGCGTCATGACGGCCCCGAGGCCCGGGAAGGGACCCCGTCGGAACCCGAACGCAGCGAAACACCACCCGTCGGTTCGCGATGCGAGGGGGTCTGGGTCGACCCCTCTGGGAGGCCTCGAGCCTCTGACGTGCCCGGCTCGGAGGAGGAGGAGGACGAGGAGGATGTTTGTTTGCAGCTGCGCTGCTCTGCCACGATTCTTCGCAGTCCCCCTGGCGGCCAGCCAGGCAGCCGTCGAGCCCGACACTTGAGACGCGGCCAGCGCAGGAGAGGTCAATGCACGCTGGGCTGCCTGCATACGCTGCAGGCCACACGACAGGGTCATGCCCCCGTGGCCGAGACCAGGAGACGGGGCCGTCGGGCGTCAACCAAATTAGCCCACAGGCTGAGGTCCTGCGGGCCAACCGACGGGGCGCGTGCCCCCGTGGCCAGGGCCAGGAGGAGCACGTGCTCCGCGAACGGCGCGCGAGACAGGGCACGCAAAGAGGCCGTGCTCCGCGCGCCCTGCTCGGAGTAGGGGGCGCCGGAGGCCGTGCTCCAGCGCCCCACCTACCCGCCACCCACTCCGTAGGTGGCCGCTGGCGACGAGGGGCAATGTTCTCTCCCCTTGGCCCCCTACGGGCAAACAAGGGTGACGATCGGGCTGCTATCCGCCTGTTTTTCTGAGAAGGGGTCCCAATGGCACAGGTGCCAAAGAGGAGGAGGAGGAGGAGGAGGAGGAGGAGGAGGAGGAGGAGGAGGACGAGGACGAGGAGGAGGAGGAAAGCGAAGGAGGAGGAGGAGACTCTCTCTCTCTCTCTCTCTCTTCCGCCAGCGGGCGCGCGCCCGCTGTCGCTCTCCGCTTAACCGCTGCAGGCCCCCACCACGACTTTCCGCCCTGCTCCCTCGCGGAAGGCGAGGCGGTGCGCCAGAAGAGGCGGGGCCCTTCTCTGGGACGCGCCAGGCTCGACGGCCAGCGAGGGGGAGGGGGAGGGGGAGGGGGAGAGGAGGAGGAGGAGGAAGAGGAGGAGGAAGAGGAGGAGGAGGAAGGAGGAGGAGGAGGAGGAGGAGGGGAGGGAAAGGAGGAGGAAGAGGAGGAGGAGGAGGAGGAGGAGGAGGAGACGGAGGAGGAGGAGGGGGAGGAGGAGGAGGAGGAGGAGGAGGAGGAGAGGAGGAGGAGGAGAAGGAGGAGGAGGAGGGGGAGGAGGAGGGAGGAGGAGGAGAGGAGGAGGAGGAGGAGGAGGAGGCGGAGGAGGAGGGGGGAGGAGGAGGGAGGAGGAGGAGGAGGAGGAGAGGAGGAGGGGAGGAGGAGGAGCCGAGAGGAGGAGGAGGAGGAGGAGGAGGAGGAGGTTTGAAATCCGCGGCCCAAATGAGGTGAGGCCGGCCCGCCCGTCGCACCGGCCGTCGCTCCAGCGAGCGGCAGCTGCTGGGAAGCGCCCCGGAGTAGGAGGAGCGCGGCGAAGGCTAAGAGGAAGGAGGAGGCCCAGACCCCCTCGGACAATGAAAAAATCATGACGTTGTTTATACTTTCGGCCTCTGCGGGGCCTCTGGGGGGCCTCATTGCATCCCAAATGCGTCCGCCTCGGTGTCAACAACTCCTCTGGTGTGCCCGCAACGGTGATTACTTTTTGCTGAGGGGGGGTTCGGAATATGCGTCGAAAAGGGGGTCCGGAATGTCAGGTCGCATTTGGAAGGGGGTCCGGTTTTTTAGGGGGGGTCGATTAAGAAGGGGTTTGGAGTATACCAGCCCTCGGGGCCGTCCAAACGCGACTCGGGATGCAAAACCGGTCCAGGGAAGACGGGTCGAGATCTCCAGGCGTCGACGTCATGGAAGGATCATGCCGTCGGGGGTCTGGGGAGAAGGGGCGGGCCCTCTCAGAAAGCTCGGAAGTCCCCCCCGGCCTGCTGAGGAGCTTCCTGCGCCTTCCCCGAAGACGGAGAGAAGTCTTCTCGGGAGGCGCGAGGGCGTCTGAGAAGCCCCGCCGACTTCTGAGACGGCCTCCCCCCCTCGCTCGCCGCCGACGGACGGTAGAGAGAAACAATTGCCGAACACTCCCCCTCCCCCCAAACTCGAAGGTGGTACGCGCGGAGGAGACTGCGGTCGACTTGCATCTCATCAGACCCGCCGCCAGCTTTGAACAGAGGGGGGGGGGAGGCGTTGACAGATGAACGTGGCCCGAGCGTCGCCATTTTTGTCCGAGGCCCGGACGTTCACCCGAAGGATTTTTTCCGGGAACGCTGGAATCCCAGGATCGTTGGCAAACCGCCCGTCTTGAGAAGCCACCCGTGCCAGAGCGCTTGGGGCGGGCTTCCGAGACGTCGAATCGGATTCAAGCGGGCGCAGGGACACCAGAGGCGTTCTAGACAGGGCCCCTCGCCATCAGCCAAGCTGCGGGACGAGAACGAGCACAGTGGAAAGGGCGCCCGGCCATTCGCCGACGGAGCAGCCCTGGCCACGCAACTCTTACTCGGACCGGAAATGGCGGGCCGGCCAAGAAGAGCGGACCAGGGAAGGGCGTGCGTCTCGTCGTCCGCCGAGCGAACTGTGCCCTCCCCGCAGGCACTTCCCGCCAGCGGTCTACGGCTGGACCTGACACAGAAGAACATCCTTCGAGAGCATGAGACTCTCCGCCGGCCGAACTGAAGAACATTCGAGGGTACCCTCCCAGGATGCAGAAGAGAGTACCCAACAAACATGAAGATCAGTAGGGTACCCTCACCGAACCGACCTGAATCTTATACCTCGGTCCGACGGTAGCGGATAACCTTGAGGTCCCCAAGCCGCTCCCTCCGAGGGCCCCTCTCGTGCCTCGGAGACTCCTGCCGACGGCCGCCGAGCGGACGGGCCTTTAGAAGGCGCTTCTCACCATGCGCCGCTCGGAAAGAAGCAGGAACTCCGCCAGGCATCCCCAGTCAGATCACCCCGAATGCGCATCGCCGACAAGCTTTCGGCCAGCGCTGCCAAGCCCAGGTCATGGGACAAGTGGGGTCAGCAGGCACGAGAGGGTCCCTCATGCCTCCTTTCTCCTCCTCCTCCTCCTCCTCCTCCTCCTTCCTCCTCCTCCTCCTCCTCCTCCTCCTCTTTTTCCTCATGCGTGATCCCTCGCCCCCTCTCCTCGTCCCCCCCCGTCATGACTTTCCTCCTCCGACGTGCGGCATCTCGGGGGCGACTGCAGCGCAGCAAGCCGTGAGAGGCACGATCGGTGGCCGCTCGTCCAGTTGACCGCCGCGTCGAACACCTCCCTCGGAGAGACGTAGAACTCCTCCTGTGCCCCAACTGCGCATGGTGCGCAGGCCCCGTCGGCTACGTCCGGGCAGCATGCCGCGCCATGCGATTACTCGAGGGAGGCAGACAGCGAGGGAGGGAGGACGAGGTTAAGCTCAACCCGCAACTGCTTACCTGAGCTGGTCTGGCTGCCGCTGCGACTGTCGGGTGACTTACGCTCACGTTCCATAGCGCCTGTTGCCTCCTCATCAAGGCCACGCGCGCCCAGCAGCGCACGCAATGTCGCATTCAAGGGTCGCACACAAACCGCATGACGCCCAAACCACATCCAACCAACACGCCCGCCACCCGGCAAGCTGCCTCCCCGCGCAAGACTGCCCCAAGACGGCCTCAAGTCGGCCTCCACGATGAAGCAGATTCCCCCAAGAAGTCTTAGGTCGGGCATGTCCTCCTACGGGCGGATTTGGGACGAAAAATCAAAAATCCGCCGACCCTGTCGGCGTGTGTGAGGGGCTTGTCCGTTCAAGACGTCATCTCCGTCATTCGTTGGTCGTCGTCTCTGTCGTCCCCTTTCCCTGCCTCCCCCCTTTCCCTGGGCTCGTCGAAGCTCCCCCTTCCCCAGGGACCTCCTCAGCGCGCCAGCCAGAGCAAAGTTCAGCAACGTCGTAATGAAGTCGAACGGAAACCCCTTCCCTTCGATCCCTCCCCCGCCGGTGGGGAGAGTGCCCCAAGAGGCCCGGAAGACAGCCCAAGAGAACCCCGAATGGCCGAACGATCGATCGGTCCAAGACGCCTTGACGGCCTCCAGACGGCCCAAGAGGCCTGCAAAGCGCCCCAAGAGGCCTCCAGGAGCTTTCCCACGAGAGCCCCAAGAGACAAAATTCATGGATTTCCCATACGCTTTCGGAAAATGTTGGCGTTCTTGCCTCTTCCGCTCTTCCGCTTACCGACGCGCCAAGACGGCCCAAGAGGCCCCCAAGAGGGCCCCCTAACGGCCGAAGAGGGCCCCAAGACGGCCCAAGACGCCTCCAAGACGGCCCAAGAGGCCCCCAAGACGGCCCGAACGGACATTTCGAGCTCTCAGCCCCAAGAAGCCCCCAAGAGGCCTCGAAGAAGCCCCAAGAGGCCCCAAGAGGCTCCCAAGGGGCCCCCAAACTGCCCCAAGACAGCCCAGGAGAGCCCCAAATTGCCCGGGAGGCCTCCAAGAGTGCCTCGAGACGGCGCAAGAGGAGCCCTGGACGGCCCAAGACGGCCTCAAGAGAGCCCCAGGCTGTCCCAAGAAAGCCTCTGGCCTCCTCCTCTTCCTCCTCCTCCTCCTCCTCCTCCTCCTCCCCTCCCCCTCCTCTGCTCCCCCTCCTCCTGCTCTCCTCTGCCTCCTTCTCCTCCTCTTGCTTCTCCTCCATATCCTTCTCCCCCCTCCTCCTCACTCATCCACCTCCTCCACCCTTCCTCCACCTCCCACTCATCCTCCTCCCCCTGCCCCATCCCTCGTTTTCACCCTCGTCGTTCTCAGGGTCGGCGGCATCGGCCGTAAGGCCTTCGCAATAATCAAACACACACACACACCCATATAGTCAAAAATGAATAGAAAAATCGTCCCCCGACGATTCATTTCCTGACTATGTTTGGACATTTTCTCTATAAGGGGGACACGCCCGACTTAACAGAGGTCCCCGAGATGTTTCCAAGACGGCCCGAGATGCACCCGTGGTCGGCTCAAGACGGGGGATGGCCCCAGCCGGCCCGAGAGGCCCCCAAGACGCCTCCAGCAGCATCTCCAGCATGCCAGCGCCACTGCGTTCCTCTGGCTGCCCGTTGCTCTCATAGCGCTCCCGCCTCTTCGGGCCTCCGGCGCCCCAGGTTGGCCCCCAGGATGGCCCCCAGGATGGCCCCAGGGCGGCCCCGAGAGGCCCACAGGACGGCGCCCAGGTGCCCGCAGGGGGACAGACGACTGCACAGGGAAGGGCCCCACGACGGCCTCCCAAGGCCACGAGGTCCCTCAGAGACCCCGCGAGGCCCCCAAGAGGCCCGCGAGAGGCCCCAGGAGGCACCCGAATGTCCCAAACCCGTCAAGCACCGATGGCCCCCCCCTCCCCCCCTCCCGGATCCCGACTGCCATCAATTCGCCGCCGAAGAATCATTTGCTCACAACTGACCCCCCCGGGAACTATCCCACGGAGACCGGGCCGATGCGATTGATGTATCATCCCGGGCCAAGGGACCGCCCCACAGATGGAAGGGGGGAGGAGGAGGAGGAGGAGGAGGAGGAGGAGGAGGAGGAGGAGGAGGAGGAGGAGGAGGAGGAGAAAGGAGGAGGAGGAGGAGGAGGAGGAGGAGGAGGAGGAGGAGGAGAAGGGAGGAGGAGGACCTCCTCAGCCTCCCTTCTCCCCCGTCCTGCAGATGGCAGTGGTGGTGGAAAGCTGGCCCATCAAACCATACGGCCAACATCCACGATGTCTCTGCCACTCTCTAGCGAGACCATGCGGGCCCAACGATCGCGCGCATGCAAGGGTTAGGTCGGGCAATGTCCTCCCACAGGCAGATCCTGGACGAAAGATCAAACATGGCCCCCCAAAACATGCCCCCCAGTAGTCAGAAGTTGGTAGAAAAATCGTTCCCCGACGATCTTGTTCGACTAAGTTTGAACGTTCCTCCTGCAGAGGGACCCGCCCGCCTTCATGCAAGAGTCGCGCAGCACACGTCGAGCTCCCCCCGCCGACTCTCCAGCGAAGCATACCATGTGCGGGGGGGGCCACGCGCGCGCTTCCCCCGTGCGCGCGCGGCGGCATCGGCAAAAACCAGCTCGCTCCATGCGTTGTGCTCGCCGTGGCGCTCGTGTCAAACTTCTGCGCGCGCGCACTCTTAGGTCGGGCGTGCCCCCTGCAGGGGGAGCCCGGACGAAAAATCCAAAGTAGTCCAAAAGTACGCCCGCATGATCAAAAATGGTCGAAAAATCGTCCCCATATTATTTTTTGACTATTTTTGAATGCTCCTCCTGTAGAGGGACAGGCCCGACTTAAGCGTACTTTCTCGTCACCCTCGCCGAGTGGTGTCTTTGCCATGGTCATCTTCGTCACCGTCGCCTTCATCACCAACGCCATCGCCGTCGTCACCACCACCACCGTCGCCATCCTCGTCGCCATCGTCGCTGCTATCGCCCTCGTCCATCTCGCCATCACAACAGCTGTAGACGGGGCGTGCGGGAGTCCGCTGCACGGGGTCCACTTCGGCAAGCGTATTCGGAGCAAGCCCGAACTCGCAACACATTTTTCCCGCCGGCGGCGAGGCAGAGGCAGTCCGCTCCAGCGCGTGGTCATCCCGGGCAGGCGAAACAGGCGAATTGGCAGGCGTGCAAGAGAGGGAGGAAGAAGACGAAGGCGGCCGCGCGGGCCGAACCCGCAGCACACGCTGTGGAGCAGGCAGGACCTGCCCCGCCGGTCCCCGCCAGCAGCTGGTCGTCTGGAGCCGTCTGCGTGTGCAGGTGGTACGGGTCGACCTCCGCGGCCCCTCCCCGCGCAGGAGGGGCGGCGGGCCCGCCCTCGCAGCTCAGCAAGACAGGACACGGGATGCTGCCCCGACTCCTTCCATCACGGCCTTCCAGCCTCCTCCCCATCCTCCTCAACCTCCACCTCCTCTTCCGTCCTCCTGCTCCTCCAACCTGTTCTTCCTCCTCCTATTTACTCCTCTTCTCCCTACACAGTGGTCCTCTTCCTCCTCCAGAATCGTCAGTCCTCCACCTGCTCCACCCTGCTCCCTCCTCCTTCCCCTACCTCCCCCAGCCGCCGTCCCGGCTGCGAGGTCCCTTTCAGCACACTAGGTGCTGCTGCAGGACCCCGTACATCGGGACAGCTGCCATGCGCGCCGGCCGCCGCTTTCGCTCCTGGCATGCTCCGGCTGGCCGCGCTCACGAGGCAGATCCGGGACCCTCCCCGAGGCTCACACGCGTTGTTTTTCGGCGACTGGGCTATTGTGCGCGCGTGGGCCGTGCGCCTTGGATCAAGGACGTCGCGTACTTGGCCAAGCACTGCTTGCACTCGGACGCCCCAGCGGTTCCGTCTGGCATCTGGCAGCCACCAGGTTTCGCGCCCGAGGCCCCTGCGATGCAGTTGGACACGCTGATCACGGCACTCGGCGTCGTTGCGCCCGCTGTCGAAGCGGTTGTGCCCATGGGGATGAACAAGCACGCAGGCCCTCCAGAAGCTGCTGGCAGCTTGTCTGGTGGAGCGGAGGTGGGCATGCCCTGCCGCAGCAGCAGCCACCTCGCCTGACATGCCGCTGCCGCCGCCGACAATTTCGTCACGATCTGGAGAGCCTCACAGGATCTGCCAGCGAAGGATCTCGGACATTCTCTCGCAGTACGACCCCGACTCTTTGTTCAGGATGGACTCCTGGCTGACCAAGTACAAGGGCTCGGAGGACAGATTCTATGTCAAAGAGTGCAAGAAGTACGGTGTCCAGCCGTCTCCTCTCTATGAGGATCGTCCTCCTGACTAGATCTGTCTTGCCCTTAGTTCCGAGTGTAGCTGAGTGGCGTGTAGCGTTGGTGCCGGCTCTCTCGTCGTGGGGCGCCCCCATTCGCTCTCCCCGTGGGCTCTTTTTGCTTGTGCCCCCACCCGGCACCTCTTTTCATTTTTTCTCCTTTGGGGGCTAAGCCGGTGGTGGCGTAAGTGGTGGATCCTCGTGAGGTCCTATGCGCCACCCACTGGCTAGCCACATTGTTCGAGCACGCCACCTTGCGAAGCCGCGCGTCGCATCATCACCCCTACCTCCCTGGTGCTGCTCCGCTGGCTTCCCCCATCCTCTACCCGTGGCGGCGCGCGGAGGGGGGGCGGGCTGGGGGGGGGGAGGCTTCTTAGAGGGAGGCTGCTTCTCAGGAGGCGCCGGCCTTCCGTCTACAGAGAAGGCCCGCGCCTTCTAAGCAGCAGCCTCCTTCTACGAAGCCTTCCCCCCTCCCCCTGCCCCCCTCTGCGCGTGGCCGATGCCCCCTCCTCCAGAGGCTCCCGGGATCACCAGGAGCCTGCTGCGGCCCCTGGAGACCTCTCTGTGCTCCTCCAGAGGCCCAGAGATGACCGAGAACGTCCAGAAGCCTTGTGCTTCGATCCTTCCTCCCCTTCCTCCATCCTCCTGCTGCTGCGAGCTCCCCTCACGAGAGCGAGGTCGGGGCGACGCAACTTGACGAGCACACGAGTTCGAGAGAGGAAGAGAAGTTGGAGGCGAGGGCCTTGATCTCCTGTCGAATCAGCGGGCAGCAGTCAGGCGAATGAGAGGAGGAGCGGGGGAAGAGGAGGAGGAGGAAGGAGGGGGAGGAGGAGGATGGGAATGAAGACGAAGGGAAGGCTACCTCGTCGTCATCCTCCTCCTCCTCCTTCTTCTTCTCCTCCTCCTCGATCCTCCTCCTGACGGTGCGAGCCCCGGATCTCGGCACTTCAAAGATGGGGCCCTGTGGCGAGGAGGCGGTGACCCATTTAGCTCCAACCTGGAAGCCCCTTCCCATCCGCAGGGCCCCACCTCCCCCCCGGGCCCTCGCTTCGAACCACCGAGCACCCCCCCGCCTCAACCAGCTGTTTGGACGCCCCCAAGTGGGTACGGACACAAATGGGTACGATGATGCTCAACAACAAACGTTGTCCAACATCGACAGCGGCTGCTCTTAGGCAAGCGAACTTGTGTCCCCAGTGGACAAGATCCGCGGCGACGCCGACAACGAAGCCTGCTCAGAATGAACAAGAGCTGCTAGTGGACTTTGTACCCATTGTTTCCGTTCCTGTTTCCCAGACCCGACGTCGTGATTCTTTCATGAAGGGACCTCCAGAAGTCTGGACCCCTTCCCAAGGAACGGTTTTTCATCCTGAGTCGTTTTTTGACGGTCCCGAGGCCTGGTGAGGGGCCCCCGAGACCGAAAACAGTAAAAATCCTCCCGTCGTGATTTTTGTCATGACTCGAGGGGGTATGGGTTCGATTCCCCCGGCACCAGCAGCATGTGCAGCGACGGGAACCGGCTCATCAGCGCCACCGAGGTGTTCGCCTCATGTTACACAGCGGGCGGGCCCCTCTGCAAGCAAGCGAACGGGCGGGAGAATCCTCGCGAGCGTGTCGCGGGCGGGGCGTTCCCCCCGCTTCAGCATGTGCAGCGACGGGAACCGGCTCACCAGCGCCACCGAGGTTCGAGCACGGACGCAAATCTGTGGCACAGTACACGTATCTTTTGTAGACACTCGACGAGGATATCAATTTTGGGGCAACTCGATTCTGCAGCCGCTCCTCTACTCCAAACGTGTCCGCCTCATTCCCCTCTGTGGGAGTGGGCCCTCCATCTAACCCTCCGCGCCCTCGTCTCGGAGAACTCGTCCCGGAGGCCTTCCTGGAGCCACTCGCTCCACTACCGCGTCGATGCTGCGTCGAGCGTCCGTGGGCGAGCGTGGGCAGCGAGAAGCGAGGGGGACGAGGACGACGGAGAGGAACGAAGAGGAATGAGGAAAAGTGAGGAGGACGAGGAGGAGAAGGACGAGGAGGAGGAGGACGAGGAGGAGGAGGCCGAAGTCGAGTGCGTCCGTGGAGAGGGGCCCTCCACCAAGCTCTCCGACACCCGACGTGATGATTTGTTCGTGGCGTGACCCCCGAAGTCCTCCTCCTCCTCCTCCTCCTCCTCCTCCCTCCTCCTCATCCCTCCTCCTCGTTCTCCTCCTCCTCCTCCTTCTCCTTCTCCTCCTCCTCCTACTCCTCCTCCTTCTCCTCGTCCTCCTCCTCCTCCTCCTCCTCCTCCTCCTCCTCCTCCTCTTTGGACGCCCGAAATGGGTACGGAAAAAATGGGCACAATGCCCAATAACAAATGTTATCCCAAACCAACAGCGGCTGCTGTTGGGCAGGCGGCCTTCTGTCTCAAATGTACACAGGCCGCGGCGACACCGACAGCGAGTCCGGTTCAAAATGATCAGGAACTGCTGTTGGGCATTGTACCCATTCTTTCCGTACCCATTCCGTTCGTGCCGACCCTCCATCTCCTCCTCCTCCTCCTCCTCCTCCTCCTCCTCCTTTCCCGGGGATCGGCTTCTCATCCCGAGCCGTTCCTAGACGGCCCCGAGCCCCGTGCGGGGCCCCTGGAGGCCGAACATGGCGAAGCACCTCCCGCCGCGATATTTGTTTGTTCGCCACTCGAGGGGGTCTGGGCCATCAGCGCCGCCGAGGTGTTCGCCTTCATTTAGGTCGGGCATGTCCCCCCCTACAGGCGGGTGTTGGAGGAAACGTAAGGCAGAGTCAAAACATGCTCAAGAAGCATCAACTATAGCAGAATCATCGTCCACAGACTACTTGTGAACTGTCTTCGAATATGAATTTCCTCCGGTAGAGGGACCTGCCCGACTTAAGCCTTCTTTTGAGCAGGGACCGACCGTCCAGGCATTCCTATAGTCCTACCACGCAATGTTAGAACCGACAAATGCCCTAATAACAAAAGCAATGTTCTCTTAGAACATCAGCCCGGTGAATTAAATCAAGACAGCCCCAGCCAGAAATGTGCTAAGGACATGTCGTGCAAACCACAAATGGTTCTGAGAACATTGTTTGGTAGGCCTACTGGCACGCCAGGACGCTTCGCCACTGCTTGATCTTTCCCCCCCCCCCCTCCCCCCCCTCCCCGAAGCCCCCCCCCTCCCCGAAGCCCTCCGAGAGAGAGCCCTCCCCGAAGCCCCCGCCACTGCTTGATTCTTCCCCCCCCCTCCCCAAAGCCCTCCGAGAGAGAGCCCTCTCCCCGCGCGCCGGCCGCCCGCGGGCCGGGGGCGCGGAGAGGCGGCTGGGCTGCCCTCGATCGATGATCCTCAGAACGCGCGCCGGGCGCCGGGCGTTGGGTCGGCCACGTCGGGCCTACTCTTGTGGGTGCCACGGCAATGCACACTCTAGCAACCCTACCATTGAATTAAACATGTGTTTATAATGTGTAAAACATGTTCTCATCATGTTTCAAGCATGTTTTTTTTTTTACTTATGTAGAATATATATATATATATATATATATATATATATATAAACATGCTTGAACATTTTTGACATCTGGCAATTATTTGGCAGCACGCTTCCTCTCCATGAATCGACTTCCACACGCCTACAGGCGGAGGTGGAAGAAGCATAACATACACCAGAGAGACACCCCGATCGAAGGATGGTTTTGAATCGTCGTGGGGTCGAGAAAGACCCGGGAACCCGGAACCCACCGACATCGGCGCGGAACCAAAAGCCAAAGACCCAAACCTGGAACCGGGAACCCGGGAATCCAGCCGGCCACCAAAATCGGCGGGGAACTTTCGCAAAATCTTTCAATTTCCGCTAGGACCCCTTCAGTGCAAGCACTGATAGGGGAACAATCGCCAACACATAATATTTACATAAAAAAACAGGGGGCACGAAACATCGTCACCAGACTATGCTTTCCACTATTCTTCAATATTCCTTCTGAAGAGGGACAGCCCGTCTTCATGTTAGCGGCAACGTGCGGGTTCCCACCGCAGCCTTTCCACACGGCGCATGTGGTTCAGTGCGGGCCGACGGAAGCTGTGTCCTATCCGCGGAGCTGAGCCAGGGATAACACACACTGGGCTAGCACACGTCTGGGGGGATCATCGACCTTACTTCCCTCCCTGGGCCCGCCGCAGGGCGAGGAGAGAACAGCCCCCCCCATCGCCCAGACCCCCTGGAGGGGTTGTCGCCATTTTCGGCCTCTGGGAGCCAAAAAGTATCCCGAGTGCTGGGAGGTCGTGGGCACGACGGCGCATGGTCGGGGTTGGACAGGTCTCCTTGTAGGCTCCAACATTCCTCCCCAGAGGCCCCCGAGAGCCTTCCGAAGAGACCCCAAGAAGCATACCTGAGGACTCTGGCCCACGTCAGCATCGTCGTCGTCGTCGCCGCCACCGCCGCCGCCGTTTAGTCGTCGTCTTCTTTCAGGGTCGGCGGCACCGGCCGCACGGCCTCCGCACTAGCCAGTGTGCTGGGAAGCCAGGGGCGCGACGGCGCGAGGTCGGGGTTGGACAGGCCCCCTTGATTATGAAAGCGCCCCCTCGGGAAAACGCCGAGGGGACCCGCCACCCGCAGGCGCCGGCCAGCAAGAGTGGCCGCTGCAGCACCGCCTCCGCAGGGCCCCAGGGACGGACTCGCGGATCGGCAGCGGCTGCGGCCCCGACGCCCGCCGATGGAACTCTCTCCGCCCGCGGGAAGCCCCGAGGCCTGCCCCGGGGGCAGCTCCTCGCTCCGGGTCCACCTGTGCGTGCACCAGGAGGGCCCGCTGACGGGCCCCAGGGGGGCGAGATCGAGGGAAACGCCAGGACCGGGACGTGCACACCTCATCGGAAGTTGTGGGGCGGTGGCGGCGGCGGACGACGGCGGCGGCGGCGGCGGCCAAGACGGCAGCAGCGGCGGCGGCCGCCACGACGGCGGCGGCGTCGACGATGGAAGCAGCTGTGGCGGCGGCGGCGACGGCGGCAGCGACGACGACGAGGCCTGTGCCGAAGGCCGGCGACGGCGGCGGCGGCGGCGACGGAGGCCAGCGACGCAGGCCGGCGACGACGGCGGCGGCGGGCGACGGCGGCGGCGACGGCGATGGCGGCGGCTAAGACGGCGGCAGCGGCCACGGCGGCGGCGGCGGCGGCGGCGGCGCGGAGCGCGCCTGGAAGACGCCCACCTCTGCGGCCCGCAGGCGGCGCGGCGGCGGCGCCGGCCGCGAGGAGACCACGGCGTCCAGCAGGCCTTATCCGCCCCCGCCCAGGGAGGGATCGAGGATCGAGCTTCGAGGATCGGGGCTTCGAGGATCGAGGGTCGAGGATCGAGGGTCGAGGATCGGGGCTCCGAGGATCGAGGTTGGAGGATCGAGCTTCGAGGATCGAGGTTGGAGGATCGAGGTTGGAGGACTGCGGTTCAAGGAGGAAGGCTTCCCGCCCTCACCCAAGAAGGCTCGAGGGTCGAGTCTCGGGGATCGAGGCGCAAGAACGCAGCGAACTCGGGAGACGGTGAGGACCGAAAGCGCTGGCCGTCGCTACCGAAGAACAATGTACAAATATAAGTGTTGGACGAACCGCGTGGATTTCTCGGATCGGCGCTGGGACACCCTGGCGGCGCCTGCGGCGCCGCCTCTGGCGCGCTCCGCGCGCCAGGGAGGGGGTCCAGCGCAGATCCAATACATCCGCGCGGACCGTCGAAAGCTTACGTTTACGCATGTTGTATGCATCTACTCTCGGAGCCTCTGAAATACAGCCAGGAGGCCGAACTAGAAACAGTTTGGGTTCGGAACGGGCTCGATGATCCTCAGGTCCCCCCCAGGACCGTTTCTCCAGCGCTCCTCGTCCACGCAAGCGCTTGTGGGGCCAAAGGGAGGTTTCCTTCTTTAGGTGCAGTTCCTAATGGTGGCAATTTGACTGTAGAGCGGCGCCCGGGTAACAATTCAGTCCCTGCCGGCGTTCGGCGATCGTGCCAGCAGCGCCCCTCTGGAGGCGTGGGAGGCATCGTGGCCTTGACCCACAGCGGGCTCAGAAACCTAAGGGCGTTTGGGCCCTCTCGGAGCCCTGGGAGGCTTCTTGAGAGGAAGGAGGGGTGGGGGGATCAGGAGGAGGGGAAGGAGAAGGAGGGGGAGGCGGAGGAGGAGGACGAAGAGGAGGAGGAGGAGGAAGAGGAGGAGGAGGAGGAGGGGGACGAAGAGGAGGACGAGGACGTCGAGGAGGAGGACGAGGACCAGTGCAAGCCCAAGAGTCATCAACGATATTGGACTAAACCCTCCCACGAAGCTCCCTCTTCATAGGCCCCTACAAGGGTCAATTTCGCCTGAGGGAACTGCCTCGTTGGAAGACAACCGTTTGAAGACCCTGAAGCATGCCAAAACATTATTCTCGGGACTCTAACGCCACGGATCAACCTGACTGTTGCGTGTAAACGATCCTGACTTGTGCCAGAACGCCATTCCTGGGACTTCAACACCGCGAATCAATGTAACTGTCGCATCTTTATATAATCTGGAATATTTCGAAATAGCCGTTTCTGACACGTTGACCACGGGAATCAATAAAATCCTTGCATGTTTAAGAAGAGCGCGCGCAGCGCCAAGGCGAGAGCCTCATTTTGAAAACGAGACGCCCTCAATGCCTGAAACCCTTGCAATCTTCAAAAAGGAATGCGAACTGCACTAAGGCGAGGACCGCATGTTGAAAACGAACCGCCCTCCAGCCGCGAACGTCTTACAATGTTTAATATTCACGCGGGAGGAAAAGGAGGAGGGGGGAAGAGGAGGAGGAGGAGGAGGAGGAGGAGGAGGAGGAGGAGGAGTAGGAGGAGGGAGAGGAGGAGGAGGAGGAGGAGGAGGAGGAGAAGGAGGAGGAGGAGGAGGAGGAGGAGGATCTCGAAGGAGGCCTCGGGCGACGCCTGTGGAGGCCTCCCGCCTCGCTCTCTCGCCCACGAGCTCGGCCCGAAAGCTGCTCCGCCCCGAACGCTCCGTCCCGACGCGAGCCGGGCGGCTCGACCGACGCTGAAGCTCCGCGCGGCGCTGCGCCCCCCTCCGGCGGATTTCCGGATCGGCGCTGGAGGGAGGGGAGGGGAGGGAGGGAGAGAGGAGGAGAGAGGGAGGCAGAGGGGGAAGGAGGGAGAGAAGGCAGAGGTGCGTCCGATCTATGGGGTGGAGTCTCTACCCCATAGAGCTCTCCACCGTGGAGAGCTCTCCACCGTCTCCACCCCATAGAGCTGCAGAGGTCCTTCTTCGAGCTCTCCACCGTGGAGAGCTCGAAGAAGGACGAGCGGCATAAGGCAGAAACCCTCGACAGTCCGCGCGGATTGGGGAGGATTGGGGATCGGTGATTTGAGTTTGGGCTTAAGGCTCAGGTGAGGAGCGCGCCAATCGGCGGATTGATCCGGAGCGGCCTGGAGAAGGGAGCACAGGTCGCGCAGTCAAGTAGGACGCTCCCTCGGCCCCGCTCCTCCTCCTGCTCCTGCTCCTGCTCCTGCTCCTGCTCCTGCTCCTCCTCCTCCTCCTCCTCCTCCTCCTCCTCCTCCTCCTCCTCCTCCTCCCCCTCCCCCTGCGAGGGGACATGAGGGCGAGGAGGCACAGCGTGCGGAGCAGTCCCCCGTCAGCGCAAAGGAGAAGAGCATACATGCTGCCTCGATTACCCCGTATCCAGCCTCCGGGAAGACCACAACGTACCGATACCGCTACGCCCCGGACCTCTCCCGGGGTGCGTTCTGACCGGAATTTCGAGGCGAATCCAGCGGTGGCGACGAGGGCTTCCCAGGAGGCCCAACAAGAGGAAAACGAGGAAACCGAGGGAAGGGTAGCGGTATGGGTACCTTTCCTCCTCTGATTGCTTGGCCCCTTGTCCAGCCCTTGGCCTCTCTCCGCAGCCTCGTGGGGAGCCTCATGGCCAGGGGCATCGCTTCAGCCTGTCCAGGGGGCATCCCAGGGCGAAGGGGCGCGGGAAGCAGAACGGGCGAGCGTGGCAAACAAGCGGTACTCGTGGAAGAATCTGACGCTTCAATCGAGATCCTCCCCCGCGAGGCCGAGACGGCGCAGCAGACCCGCTACTGGGATCGTCTTCGGGGGGGGCTTAGGGGATAGGGGGGTTACCAGTGCATGCCGGGGTGGGCTATATCTGGCCTAACCTGGCTCATGAGTAGGCTACACATGCCCCAAGTGGCTTAAGGGGGTTAGATACCTCCGCTAAGTGGGCGGAACCCGCTTAGCTGGCATCGTTTCACCAAACGACTCCACTTGGAGCATGTGTAGCCAACTCAAAAGGTAGATCATGAAGGTCATAACCAACCTCGGCTTCCACAGATAGCACCCCGAATAATCCTCATAGCAACCCCCGCGCCCATCCAAGTCGGAGGAGCATGAGGAGCAGGAGGAGCAGGAGGATGAGGAAGAGGAGGAGGAGGAGGAGAAGGAGGAGCAGGAGGAGCAGCAGTATGAGCAGCAGGAGGAGGAGGAGGAGGAGGAGGAAGAGGAGGCCCATTCTCCTTCTACACCTCTGTGGGCCTCTGGATGGTCTGACGATGGAGCTGGGTGGCCCTCCTTCCCCCCCCTCTCTCGGAAAGGGCGCGCCCTGGCTCCAGGCGCAGCGCCGCGCGCGGCGCGGGCTTTGCGGGCGGGGGCGCAGGGAACGGCAGATGCCGCTGCGAGAGAGAGGAGACCCCCCCTGCCGCGCGGCCGCTGAGGATGTCGATGCGCCTGGAGCCCCAGGCCCCGACGAAGACCGCGTCCGCCCGGGCCTCGCCAGCGCGGACCTCCCCGCCAAACGCCCGGGGCGGTCGCCCAGCAGCCGCCACATAGTCAAGAACGGCACCGAGCATACGGACCTGCATTCGGTGTGCTTCTCAGGCTCACGCGTCAGCGAACTCAAAGACTGTACTCCTGCTATGCTCCAGCAGCGGGGAGAAGAAGCCACCATCTGATTTTCTGCTGGACGCACAGCGTCGCACAACCAAAAAGTGTACCATATGCCGTGTAATGAAAGCTTTCACATGTTCTGGATGCGGAGAGGCCAAACCGAGACTACAACACCGGAAGCGCACGATGCAGTGATCATTGTATTATTGTCCCCGTTCTCGGCTTCTCCAATGCCAGAGCTCTTCTGTCGTTCCTGAGTTCTTCCCCGCGCGCGCAATCGCGTGCACATAAGTGTATACATGTATACCTACATGCACAGGTTCACACGTAGCCATGTACAAGTAGACGTGGTAACAAATGCGTGCGCGCCCATAGTTCGACGTGTGTATATGCATATGTGCATAACCGTGTATGTGTTTGTGTATCAATACACACATGCACACATATACACATATCTATATAGATATATACATATGCACGTATAACGTGCACGTACGTGCGCGTGCACACATGCTTGCATCCAGTCATGCGCGCTTGCACGCGCGCGCACGCCGCCTGCTGGCGAAACTCAAAGGACCAAGGTGCATGGCGCAGAGGTATGTGTATATTTACATACACATACACAAACACCCGCCGACGAGTATTACTCGTGTCTTCAAGGGAGGGTGGCGGCGTATGAAATCGTTGGCTCTCGAAGGTGAGTTATACACCGCCATTCATCCTCCCCATGAGGTCTAGGAACAAACAACTGGAGGGTGTCTGTGAATGTATTCCTGCAGCGGACCATCCCACACTAGCGTTGCCCCTGATCAGCTCTCTCTCTCTCTCTCTCTCTCTCGCGCGTAGACTGTGAAGAGGGGCCTCGGGGATCCCCTGGCCCACGCTCGTGGGCGCTGCGTACAGGCTGTGCCACCCGTGCAGCTCAGGCGGCTGCGCAAGCAGACAGCAAGCGGGTTGCGGATTCCATGCACTTATCATCTCTTGGGGACATACATTTTGCCTCCGCCTGCTTCCGCCGGCGGGATCGCCCTCGTTTTGATTCCGCCACCTTCCGCCGACATTCCGCCGAGGAAGAGATGTCAACACCCTCGGTCTCCAAGATGGCGAGGCCCTCTCTGTTACGCCCAAACATGTGTAGATCATTTCGCAGTATTGGCGGCTCTGCTTCTTGGCGCAGCGACGCTCGACACTCTGCAGTGACAGTGTTCTGAATTGCTGGGGCGCGCCGAAGCAAACATCCACGCGTAGCATCTGCATGCTGCCCGCGCGCTGACGTCTGACCAGCGAATCAAACAGCTGCCTCTCGCGTGCATTCGGACCGAAGATTTTGAGTCGTGGCAACCCAGTTCAGGCCCAGGCTTCTTTGCTGTGCTTCTAGGCCCGATAGGGAGCATGCTGATGTAGCCCCATCGTCTGTAGAACTCTAGCCAATCCTGATCGTCTCGCACTGGCCCGTGACGAAATCTTAGCACACTGCTCCTAAAATGTCAGTGGGTGCACCCATACTTCTGTCGCCTCGAGAGTACCTACCATTCACACCTCTGAAGGATAGAACCTCTGAAGCATGGAAGCCTGAATATCAGACATCTCAAGCCTGTGAGATCCTCTTCTCACTTCTGTGGTTGCCCGCCGATTTCATACCCGACCCACCTCCTCCCCTCCGAAGTCTACTCCAGCTTTTTCGTCGACCAGGAATGCAAATTGCAAGCGCGCGCTGCAATATACGAACCAACAGGCGCGCAATCTGGGGGCGACATAACGGCTCTTTCAGAGCCGGGCGACGAGTGAGGTCATGAGCGAAGAACTCACCAGAGTTGCAAGATCCTGCCCGCGACATGGGCACGTGAACCATGGATGGGACCCGAAGGGTCAGGAGCGATGGCGCGGACGAGTGCAAGCGCCTGCTGGCAACGAGAGGCGAGCTCGGAGAGGCGGGCGACCCCGCCCCCCACAGATCCCCAGCGACCTTTCCCGGCATGGCGATGGAAAACTCGCGGAGTGCTGCAGCACTCATACGCGCCATGTTGAACAGGCTGCGCGAGCAGTGCGCCCTGCCCCCACATCCTTCGGCAGATCTTGCCGGCAACTGCGACAGCCACGGCGTCGACCGAACCCAACAGCACGCTTCCGCTATAGGGATGCGTGCGCGTACCTGGAGCAAGGACAAGCTCTTGCCGCCACGATGCGAAACAGCCTGTGAGAACCTTGACGGCAACGGTGACGACGAACATCGACCGACCCCGACCCCGACACAACAACAACAACGACAACAGCAGCAACAACAACAACTACAACAACATGAACAACAACAACAACAACAACAACAACAACAACAACAACAACAACAACAACACCAACAAAAACAACAACAACAACAACAACAACAACAACAACAACAACAACAACAACAACAACAACAACAACAACAACAACAGCAATGCCAACACCGTTCCCTCTTATCTGCACGCGAGCCATTCAACACGTATATCCCGAACCCTAGTACCCGCTGTCTTCGTCTTCGATCATACCCCCTTGGGGATATATCTATCTTGCCTGCAACTTGTAATTCATGCAGCCCCTACAACACGGAAGAGAGGGCGGATGGAAGAAAGGGACAAGGGGGAGGGATGAGGATGGAGCGCGAGAGAGAGGGAGAGTAGCAGGAGGGGGGCTAGGAGCAGAAAACCGTGGCCGAACCAGACGGGCAGATCGGGCGGGTAGACCCTTACAGGCGGGTCGGGGAGGCGGGCCCAGGCAGCCAGGTCGAGCAGGCGGGTTGCTGAAGCGTGCGTCCTGCATGAATCGCGCGGAAGTCTCGAGCGATAGCGCGATTCCCAGGTTAATCGTGAGATAGGTTCAAGCGAGAGCGTGATTCCTGAGTGTCGAGGGCACGGCGTCTGAAGAAATTGCGAGAAAGTCCCACGCGAGAGCGCAATTGTTGCATACATTGTGAGGAAGTCCAGCGCGAAGCGCGATTTGAGGAAGTATAAGGCGGGAGCCGTTGATGTTGTAAACCAGGGACCCGGGGCGCAGCTTTGTGACACCTCGATTTCCCTTATGAAAACAAAGGGTGCGAGCCCCGGGAGATGTATTGTAATTGAGAAATGCAATGGTTACTGGGGAGGGGGGGGCAACAACAACAATTATTTGTTAGAAATGTATTTTTTAAAAAGAACAACATCAGCAGCAACAACAACAACGACAACGACAACGACAGCGACAATGAAAACGAAAACAACATCAACACCAACAACAACAGCAACAACAACGCCGACAGCACCGTCAGCCCCGCAGGCGTGGACAGGAGTGGCGTTGCGCCTGGCTCGGAAGTCGAGGTCAGTCAACAGCCAGCTGCCAGCGCCGAGCTTTGAAAGCGCATGCTGGCATACAGCTTGATCTCAAGATCGACACATGTAGCTCTATATGTGTGTATGAACATCTGGATGTATATGTGTGCATGTGCACATTGCGGCCAGCTTACAGAGCACGCTTATACGTACACATGCATGTGTTTGTACATGAATATTTCCCAAACAGAGTTTGAGCTTAGGGGGTCCTCCTTCTCTTCTACGGAACTGGGCCGGTGCGCGGCGCCCGCAGGTCCGAAGAGAAAACCCGCTTGCGGGCCTGGCAACCCCGTTCCAGCCCGTCGCCGCCGCGCCGTTGCACCCGCCCCGTTGAATTGCAATCGCATTTCATTGCATTGCCTTGCATTGCGTTGCAATCGCGTTGCGCTGAATTGGATTGTGCTGCATGGCTTTGCAATCACATTGCGTTGCAATCACATTACATTGCAATCGCATTGCGTTGCATTCCTTCGCAGTGCTTTGCATTGCGCTCCGTTGCTTTGGATCGCATTGGATTGCGTTGCATCGCTCTGGATCGCAATACATGTCTTTGCATTGCGTTGCGTTCCTTTTCGTTGCTTTGCATTGGCTTGCCTTGAGTTGCATGGATTTGTATTGTGTTGCATTGCGTTGCATTGCGTTGCATTGTTTTGTTTCGTATTGCTTTGCAATCGCATTGCATTGCAATCGCATTGCATTGCATTGCTTTGCATATTTTGCTTCATATAGGTTGTACCACATGGGTTGCACAACCTAGATTGTTCCACATGTCTTGCACCACCAATATTGTTCCACGCAGGCGCACGCACGCATATATCTATATATACACACATGCACAGATCAAGGAAGCACTATTTAGGGTCCGTGCTGGCGAACATCTATGTCTACACACGTGTGGCCATCGACGTGCAAAACATTGAACACACCACATATGAATGTATACACATCTGCAGGTATATGCAGGTCTGTACATAGATGCATGTAAGTCGGCAGACCCTCGGTCTGTATATATCTTGGCCTCGTGTAGCCGAACAATCGATGTATGTAGCTACCTAACTGTATGGCTCTTGATCTGACCCCCTGGGCCCAACACGGAAAAAACCCAGCAACCACGGGACAACCCAGTAACTACCACTGGACAAACCTGGGGCAAACAGGTGGGGGCCCTCGACAGGGACTGGGGGGCGAACGACTGCGTGATATGCCCCTAGCTAAGGCAGGCTCTCTCTCTCTCTCTCGCCCTCGCGCAACTTCGCCTCGACTGAACGCGTGGAGCGAACCGAAACCGACAACGGCTTGGTGGTCGGACCGAGCGAACATCTGCACTTATCCACCGGTCTGCCCGAGCCCGCCCTCCTCTTGCGTCATCCTCTGTGTTTGCAGTCACGAACCGTCAGAGACGTGGCCAGACGAGGGGGAACATGGGGCGAGCGAAAGAGGAGCCGCACGGACGGACGGACGGCACATCACACATCTAGGCAGTACGTGGATGACACTGGCAATGCGCACGTATGCATCTCCCACGGCCCACCCCTGCACGAGCGCCTCTTGTCATCCCCTGGAGGGAAAGAGAAAGAAGGGGAGAAAGGAGGGAAGAGGAAGAGCAGGAGCAGGAGGGAGGGGGGATAAGGAGAGAGAGCAGAACAGGAATAAGGGGGGGAGGGGGCGGTGGACAAGCTACGCGAGCTCACGCCATATCTGCCATCCTACCCTTTCAACCCATCCCTTCCGAGTGCCGGATGTTGTGTCTATCCGCCGCCGCGTACAGCCGAACATATGATCAATAACATTATACAATTGAACAAATCTGGACCAACTTCCTGGACAATGTTTGAAACAAGCCTGGGCCAATTTCTTGTTCACGCTTGAGGGGCGATCGTGCTCAAGAAATTGGGCCAGCTTTCCAGCAAGTTGGTTCATAACACTGGTGCAGCTTTCCAAGAGGAGGTTTCTCACTCAGAGGCTTGACTATATCATAGCGGACTTGAAACTCCAAAACAAGACCCCTTGCTTTGTGATGCGCAAGCAGAAAATGGGAGCTGCCTACAGTGGAGGTGGCGGATGAGCAGGACGATCAGCAGGAGGAAACGGGGGACGACGAAGGAGGATGACGAGGACGAACAGCAGCAGCAGGAACTGGAGTGGACGGAATGGGAGGAACAGGAGGTCCAACGGGAAGGCGGAGGAAGGGAAACGAGGGGGAGAACGATGAGGGAGGAGCCAGAGAGGCCGGGACATCTTCTGGACAAAATCGAGGGAGAAGGGGAAGCAGCATTCAGAATGAGCACCTAGAGAAGGGAGCGAGGACGAGAGAGGTGGAGGAAGGGATTTGATGGGGAGGAGAAGGAAAAGCAACAGCAGGCGGCCGGACGGTCCCTGGTGTCTTCTCCTTGGGGTGCCCAACCGGTCTCGGCTGCTCAGTCGTGGTGATTTTGTGGCTCTCTCTCTCTCTCTCTCTCGAGAGAGAGAGAGAGAGAAAGGTCTCGCCTGCAGAATCCGAAAACACGCCAGGGCCGTGAGGACTGTGAGGACTGGAGTGAGGACTGCCGTGAAAGATGCGCGGGCCGTGAAAAATAAGAAACAAGAACATCCCCTCTTTTTTGTTCCCCGGTCGGTCTTCAAGGTCAGCACATGTTTTACGGCAGTCCTCCCTCTGGGTCTCACGGTCCTCACATGTTTTACAGCGGCGAAGCCGCCAGGAACTGCAACGGGACAAAAAGGTAGAACCACCCACTCGTGTTCGACCCTGTGCTCGCCCCCCCCCCCCCCAGATTCGAAGTTGGGTCGGGCCTAGCGGAGGCCCTGGGGGCTCCACCTTCTTTGTCCTCTCACGCCTGTGCTGCCACATGCCTGGGACCAACTTTGTGAGGGGGCGGAGTGAGGGGTTTCTACTTCTGTGTGCATCTACGGGAGGGTGCTGCTGGCCCGCCCCAGCGATGGCACACGGGTAAAGACGGGGGGGGGAGGGGAGCACAGGGAGAGGCAGCAAACGAAGAGGAGGGGGGGGGGGGGGCACGCGGAGACGGCGACAGAGGCGCACGAGGTGCCACACACCCGCCCCGCCCCGCCCCAAGTCAACCAGCGGCGAGCACCGGACGCCACCCCCGATCTCCGACAGGCGCTGCAGGTTGCTGCCCAGCGAAATGCACTCCTCCGCCCGTGCGCCAGGACGCCAATATGCGCACGTGACGCATCGTGGAATCCACCAGTGTCATCTCCAGCTCCTCCGCCTCTTTTTGCCCCCCATTTCCTGCTCCTCTTTTCCCCATCTCCTCCACCTCCTCCTCCTCCTCCTCCTCCTCCTCCTCCTCCTCCTCCTCCTCATCATCATCATCATCACCATCATCATCATTTTTCCCTCGCCTCCTTCTCCTGCGCTTCCCCACCCACCGTCTCCCTGTATTCTTCGTCGTCGTCCTCCTCCTTCTCAATGTAAGGCACGCCGTGCGTTGACAAATCTTACCAGCCAATTTTGTCCCGTCCGTGCGCGCCCGCTGCCCAAGAAAACCAGCATCGAAAACATACTTCGCCGAATCATGCTCGCCCCTCGGCACCGGGGTTCGCCCTGCAGCGGAAGAGCAGGAGACGCGATGAGGAACAACAGGCACAACACCCATGACGTCCCAGATATCGGACGATGAGAACGAGCTAGGGCACAACTGGAGGAGTAGGACGAGATGTAATGACTGGTGCCCGAATGGAGCGATGGGATATATATTGCAGAAGAGGTTGACGACAACCAACAAGAAACCACAATGATGGACGGTTGGGGGGATACAACGAGCAAGCTATGACGATTAACAGTGGGTGGGGGTGGGGGGGGGCGTGTATCGTATAACGGCGTGCGCGCAGGGAAGAACAATTATGATGACCAGGGTGGGGGCTGCTCGCATGCAATTCTAAGCTGTAGCCCCGGCTTTTCCGTGCCCCCCACCACCACCCACGCGCACACGCGAAACCCCGTACAAGCCAAAAACAAAAGCATCATGATACGCAGCCCCGAGACAGCCCATGACCCCTTGTCACAGCAGGATTATATAATTCTGTGGCGTCTGAAAGCTGGCGGGTTTGGAAGATGCATCGGGCGCCGCGGCCGAACAAGGCGACATGCGTCCCAGGACGCTCTGGGGCCGCCCCATATGCTCGCGGGCGGTAATTATGTCTTCTTCTCGGCCACGCCGCACCCTTCCCCCAGGCTGCAATCGGCACGGTCTGCATCGCAGCCCCCCGCGTTCTCTCTGCAAGCCGACCCCCCGCACCTGTTCGGAAGCGTGGCCTGGCCAGAACTTCGATGCGAATCCAGCCACGGCAACGAGGGCGCCCCAGGAGACCCACGACCCACGAAGGCAAGCAGTCGCCCGAGAACCTCGCACCCCGAAGTTTGCGCAGCCGCATCGGCGGCGCCAGCCCTGGGGGCCCCGGGCGGCGCGCGCTGCTCGAGC